AGGCTAGAGTGCTGTGGAGTCAGTCTAGCTCACAGCTACCTCAAACTTCTGGGCTCAAGTGATCCCCCTGTCTCACAGTCTACTAAGTAGCACCTACCACAACACCCAGCTAATTTTCCTATTTATAGTAGAGACTGGGTCTTGCTATGGCTCAGGCTGGTCTCCAACTCCTGAGCTTAAGGGATCTTCCTCCCTCCTTGGCCTCTTAGAGTTCTGGGATTACAGGCCTGAGCCCCTGTGATACTGGCCTAAAACTTTTTTTCTTGTTGCAGTTTTGGGCTGGGGCTGGGTTTGAACCCGCAACCTCTGGCATATGGGGCTGGTGCCCTAGTCCTTGAGCCATAGGTGCTGCCCTAAAACTTTTTTTCTTTCTTTTCTTTTTTTGATATAGTCTCTTACTCTGTAGCCCAGGCTAGAATGCTACCATGGTCTCAGCCTAGCTCTTAGCAACCTCAAACTCCTAGTCTCTAACAATCTTCTTATCTCAGCCTTTGGAGTAGCTACAACTATGAGTGTACCACCACACCCAGCTAATTTTTATATTTTTAGAAAAATAGCAAGACCAGTCTTGCTGTTTTTCAGACCGGTCTCCAACTTCAGATCTCAAGTGATCCTCCTGCCTTGGCTTCCCAGAATATGTTAGTATTATAGATATGAGTCACCATGCCTGGTCTCTCTCTGTCTCTTTTTTGAGATATTGTCATTATGGGCTAGAGTGCACTGGCATCATCCTAGCTTACTGCAGCCTTGAACTCCTAGGCTCAGGCGATCCTCTTGCTTCAGCCTCCTGAGTAGCTGGGACTACAGGTGGGTACCACCACACCAGGCTAATTTTTCTATTTTTTGTAGAGGCAGGGTCTCATTTTTACTCAGGTACTACTCAAGCTTCTGGCCTCTAGCAATCTTCCAGCAGAGGATGGCCTCTCATTTTTTTTTTTAACTTTTTGAACTTAAACATAACATAATAACTTAGGCCAATAGAGGGTCAGGATCATCAATAAGTCAGTAGGCAATCAGAATTTTTTAGCTCCATTATAATCCTGTGGGAACACCTATGTAGTCATTGACTGAAAGGCAACTAAAAGGGGTTCAATGCTGTACCCAGAGGCAAGACCAGGAAAGTTATAGGCCAAGTTTAAAGTTGTTTTTTTTTTTTTTGCAGTTTTTTGGCCGAGGCTGGGTTTGAACCCACTATCTCCGGCATATGGGGCTGGTGCCCTAGTCCTTTGAGCCACACGTGCCGCCCTACAGGCCAAGTTTAATGAAAGGGGACAGAGACCCATCTGGGCAAAAATGGCAGCTGCACTGAGAGTGGTTTTGGGGGGCTTGTTTTTATGCTGGAAATAGGGGAAGGAAGATTCCATAGGTTGCAGGAATGTTTTGTCCTGCTAGGATCTTTCTTGGGGGAACTCTTTGGGCAGGGTCAAGTAGGCCTTTTATCCCAGGAGAGGAGGAGGGGGAAGAGTTTAGGTTCCTAACAGTCTCAGTGTGGCATATGACTGTATAATCACAGCCTTCTCTGCAGTCCTTGTTATTTCCT